TGCCATTCAAAGAAACAGAAATCATATTATCCATACGCCCCGTACGCGTCATACAGCACGCACACACACACGCAGTTGCAGCAGCAGCAGCAATTTTTGATTTTATATCTTGTTGGAACCCTCGAAAGGGAAAAAACGCAGCGATCTGTGCTTGCACATTTCGTTCTTGTTGTCCAATCCCAAAGGGAGTCGTAAACACTTTGGCCAGCACGCAAAAAAATATATATATGTGAGTAGAAAAGGAAATGCACATCGAGCGGGGGCGAAAAGTTAGAGCCAAAAGAGGGTGCACCCTAATACACCAGCTATGGCAATTGCCAATCCTTGACCCGTCATAACAGCGCCCCTCTACACCTCCATCCACCCTCTCTCCTTTTCTGCTGCTGCTCTGACAGCACAGTTAAATGAGATATGCTTTTTACATTTTTTCGATAAATTTTGTGGCACCCCTGCTCTAAAGCACTGGGATAACATTATTAGCGCTGAATTTTTGCCATAAAAATGGCAAACGGATTTACGCAACGCTTAAAATTGAGATTTACTGTAAGCAAAATTTATGGCAAATGACATGAGAAAAAGGAAAAAATAACTAAAAATTGAAACCCCCGCAGTGAATGCAACAAATTTAAGGGACAAAAGTACTTAGATTTCAAGCTTATCAAATGACATTGATGAATGCACCAGGCAATTAGTTGCAACCACTCCGTTTGGCTCTATAAAAGGGCAGACAATGCATTGCACGTCTCACAAAATGAAGTCTCTAGGTCTCGGTCTACTCTGCTCCCTGCTGTGCACACTGGCATGGGCTCAAGAGCTGGAGCTACAAGCTGAAGGCATAGCAAATCAATTGCAACCGTTGCCTATTTTTTATCAAACGGAAGACTTCGCTATAGCGACAGCTTTGAAGGTAAGAAACAGTGAAGATAATGTGTGTTGATATAAGAATACAAAACTGAAATTTAAATCAATTTCTAGCTGAATTGGTTCCAAGCTGAAGCCGCCTGTGCTTCACTGGGCTGGACCCTGGTCAGTTTGGAGACCCAAGCCAAGCACAACAGTGTTTACAACTTTATGCTTAAGTCGGGCCAATTGAAATCTATCAACGAACCGGTTTGGACCTCCGGCACAAATCTGGCCAACACTAATAAATGGAGCTGGTTCACCACTGGTTCCGCATTCAAGTATCGCAATTTCCAAAATCCACCTCCTAATTTATATCGCTGCGCTGGCCTTCATGCTGTTACCGGTTACTGGATTCCTGAAGATTGCGGTTCGAGGCGTCACTTTGTGTGCGAGCCACGTTGCTAATGAAATACTTCCAAAATATCTATAATATATAATAATAAAGTTTTCTGATTGCAATAGAAATTAAATCTTTATTTAAATTAGAAAAAAAAAATCAAGCTCTCTTCATGCGCGTCACTAGATGCTTTTGTAAAGCTTTAAAAGCTACTCAAAGCTCAGAAACTTAAGCGTACATATACTGTTTTGCTTGCGGCGGGCTTTCCTGATTAGTAGCGCAGTGGGTAGACACAAATTTCGCTTGCGTCACAATGGGGTTCAAGTCGCAGCTGTACCTATTGTTTTTTATTGATTGAACTTTTTTTTGCCTCTGTAGAGGTATTCCAATTTGGATCATGCAATGCCTAACGCATCTCCGACCTCATAATGTATATGAATGTTATAGATCAAGATCAACCGTCCAGTTGATTTAACCGTGTCCTTCTGTCTGTCTGTCTGTTGCTATGCGAACTAGTCCCCAATATTAAAGTTATCATCTTGAAACTTTGGATAAGTCGGCAAAAAGTCGATAAGTCGTTTCTTGTATAAAAAAACCCTCCTTCTTGGTTTATCAGGATATCTTGACCATGCAAAATCATATACATTATAGTTACCCATTGAGCATTGAGTAATAATTTATTAATAATTTAATACTCAATGATAGTTACCATAGGAACGATCGGTTGAAAGGTAGGGATAGCTTGGTATATTTTAGGTTTACTGTGCTTCTTATATATATGCAAAATTTAATTAATATCGGGCAGCTATATCATATCAAATATCGAATATTCAGTTTTCATCAAACTCATCATTTACGAGCTTCACTATTCTCACATATATGTAAAATCATAGGGCAAATGTCTACAAGGGTTTCAAATATATATTAAATATATTTATTATGTTATATTTATATATTTTTATTATATTTATATATATATATATATATATATATATATATATATATATATAAATATATTATTGTGTTTTTTATTATTAGTATTATTGCCCTGGAATGTTTATCAAATAAAATATGGCATGCAATATGCAGAACATCTTTCTGAGCTCTTATAATATATATATAGTTTTGATGGGTTGCCATTAAAGCCCTTCAGCCTCCATAACTTTCTGGGCCTACATAAACGAATTTTATAAAGAACTATCTTTTCACTGCAGGCAGATAAAAGACATAGATATATTGTTAAAATTTGTTAAATATGTTGTAATTAATTAATGTAATTAATTTAACCTCATACGTATTAAATATATTATAGAAAGGCTATATAAATTTCTACACCTCGTTGAAAATAAAAGAAACTGTAACTGATTTGTGCCCTTAACCAGTTTCGAGTCACTGAAATTTAGCATGTTCGATTATTTGAAATATCTTTAAGAGACCCTTAGGTAAAATAATCAAATAATTAGATGTTAAGCTTATCAAATGACAATGATGGATGCATTCGGCAATTAGTTTTCACATCGGCATATTGTATAAAAGGGAACACAGCTTTGGACTCTTTACAAAATGAAGTCTTTAGTTCTCGGTCTTTTCTGGCTGCTCTGCACTGCAAGCACGGCATGGGCTGAAGATGACTTTGAGCAATTGCTCGAGGATGAGGAGCCACCAGAGCCCATCCTTAACATTTTTTCCTATAATAACAGCGTATATGGAATGAGCACATACGCTAAGGTAAAAGCTATAAGCAATCGGCAGCAACAACTGAATTATTGTTTCATTTTAGCTTGACTGGTTTGAGGCTCAGCTCGTTTGTGCTGCAAATGGCTTTAAGCTAGCCAGCATTCCATCGGAAACAGTTCAGGACCGAATTATCAATTTTATACACGCCGCCGATGATTCCCTTATATCTTACCTTGCCACCGAACGTCTATGGATCTCGGGCACAAACCTGGGCGATATCAATCAATATGTATGGCAAAGCACTGGAGCACGACTAGGATATCGAAATTTCGAAGGTCAGGTAAGGGGTGGCTATCGTTGCGTCACCTTAAATGGAGTCACAGGCGACTGGACAGCTGAGGACTGCAGAGAACGGCGTCACTTTCTGTGCGAAATTGCTTGCGAATGAGGTGCTATTTATAAAAGCACTTTTATCATAAGTGTGTTGGAATATTTTCATATATATTAAAAGTTCAAATTGCAATCAGAAATCGTTTTTTGAGTTTATTTTCGCTTTAAAGTTGTTTTTTAAAAAGTCGTTGCGGCGAATAAAGTTCGTCTTTACAAACCATTATGCATACTTTATGCATTTATCTGGAATATGAAGGAATTCCAACATAGAAATCATGCAAAGGCTCTAGTCTACGAGAAATACGATATACATAAAGACCTAAGCATGGCCCTTTGTCAGAAATTAAATAAGTGGATGTGCTGTGAGCTTTATTAATAGGCTACACAAACACAAAAATAACATGGTTCTCAATCTCTTATACAATAGTACGGACACTCGACGCTAAAAAGATTCCACATCATATACACTGTATATTTTTTTATATCGTACTGTATTTTTTATAAAAATTTGTTTAGTGTTCTTAGATAGATTAAAAGTAAAGTTTAACAAAAAAAGTCAGAGTATTTGTATTTCATTTATAAAAAAAAATGGTTGTTAACCGATGCCAACAACACGCGGTGTTCCCAAGCGGTCCCCCATCTAAGTACTAACCGCGCCCGACGCTGCTTAATTTCGGTGATCGGACGAGAACCGATGTATTCAGCGTGGTATGGTCGTTGGCGAGAGACGAGTGACTAAAGCGGGAATATGTATCTGGAATTTGGGAATGAGCAACTGGGAATTTTTATATTCGTCTTTAGTATAAATGCTCGATTTAATTGAGTGTAAAGGTAACACAACTTCCCGACTAATGCATAGCAAAGCAACATTTTGTAGCTCTTATACGAGGCATAATATTGAATGCAACGATATAATCCAAGGAATATAATTTTAATATTATTATCGTTTGCACAAATTTATTGTGTTAAAATTGTGACATTGATTTTTCTCGCATTACAATTGTATGTTTACTAACAAATGGAATATTGTGCGTATTCCCATTAAAATGTGAATGACTCAAAAATGTATAACTATTACTTGAATTATTTAAGTAAGTTTTAAGAGTTCGAGGCTTGTTAGGAACCAATTGAGCACTAATCGTTGAATAAAACTAGCATTTCATATACTTATAACTAATAATATCCATAAGCTATGTCTATGTAAAAATAAATTAAAGGCCGAAGCAGAACATTTTAATCAAACATATTTAAAAGCTGAGAGATATTTATATATTTTCAGTATATACTTAAAATTAAAGAAAAAGTGAAATTCTTGCAGCTATTGATTTATAAAAAAAAGGTTGTTAACGATGCCAACAACACGCGGTGTTCCCAAGCGGTCCCCCATCTAAGTACTAACCGCGCCCGACGCTGCTTAATTTCGGTGATCGGACGAGAACCGATGTATTCAGCGTGGTATGGTCGTTGGCGAGAGACGATTGACTAAAGCATGAATATGTATCTACAATTCGAGAATAAGTAAATGTGAATTTCAATGACCCACAAAAGCACACCCCAAGTGCAGCTATTCAAAGAGTGGTTTGCTTTTCAACCAACCCTTAAATTTGGTGGGGTGGAAATAGATTCTTTTAGTTAGTGTCGCATATTTTTATTTTTGTGTTTCCATACATTTTACAAAAAATAAACAACTACGTTGCAGTCGATTTGATTTATAATATAAGGAGCTGCTTTTTGATTTATATGTACAAGGGCTCCAGGGATTTTGTTGAGTTGCATTGTCTTTCGCAGATGAAATAGTATTCACTGCGGCAATCCACACTGTACCAGGACGTGTCCAGCCCCAAAACCATGCAGCCCTCTTTGCCAATTAAATCCGACTGTGGCTCATCACTGGCCCATCTCTTGTAGCCCAAGGGTATACCAAGGCCCAGCCAAGTCCACGATTTCAGATCCGCCAAATTACTGGCGCCCAGCCAGAATCCTTCATAGCCTAGCAAATGACCTGAACAGTAGTTGGATTGATGGGAATGAAATGGTTATATATTATTTAGAAAGTTATTTTTTTACCATTAAGAGCTATGCTGCGAATCACCTGCACATGCTGCTCATAGCTGGTGACTGTGGCTAGAATCATGTCGGATCGGTGGCATATTTGATGTGCCTGAAACCAATTGACCTGGCAAAACACATGAGTTTCAATATACTTGACTCGTATGGATGTTTTTGAACTGTGCTCACCTTGCCAAAACTCGCAACGACATATTTCTCGGTGGTTTTTTGACAGCTCCACAGCTGCAGAAAGCAAATGAGCACCAGAAGCCGAAACATTTTGCTAAGAACTCGAGCTAATTTCACAGTCTCCAGCTATTTATATGGACGCGACAAAGGTGGCATCAAAAGTCGCTTAGAAAGCAATTAGTGGCCAAAAGATAAATAATATATTATATGCTTGGTTTCTAGGAAAATATAAAATGTTTATTCAATAGCAAAAATCGTTAACACTTTACAAACGTGTGTCCCTTCAAGAAAAATATTACTTAAGAAATGCTAAAGACCTTACATGTGTCGAGTTTTTGGTCTAGTCTCGATTTAGTATGGGAGTGTGCAGCACTTACAATAAGTAGTTAAATATATTTATTCAGTTTATTTATAGCTATTAGTATTTGTTACCAGCTCTATACATAAATTTCATCAAATCTGGTCTCACACTTGGCTCTAGTTAAATTAGATTAAATACAATTCTGATAATGGAACCCTAAATTTGACTGAAATGTGTTGCAATAAAAACTAAATGTAAAATATATATATATAATGTGGGAACTTAAGCTATGTGACTTGCGTTGCTTTTTATGAAATGCTTGTATAGATAGTATATACATAGTTTATAAGACTTGTCGAAATCGTTTTAATATAAATAGAATGCAAAATGCTTTACTATCAGTAGAACAAGAGAGAGCAACCCAAATGAATATAAATATACCAAACTTGCATAAATGAACAAATATATAATGCTCTATATCATAGGAGGATGAACGAGCGAATATATGAATATTTTCCTACAACTTGTATTTTTCATTTGATGTTAATTTCAATATTATATTAATATCTGAACAATTTCTTGGTAGGGCAAGCCAAACATGGGGGCATTTAAATTGTTAACTGCGTTTATGCTATGCGTAGTACACAAAATCTGTTCAAACAAATAAATTTAAACACTGCAGACACGAAAATTGACTATAAATTCGAGCTCTTATTCTGGCGCAGCCAACTTAATGGACCCCACAAACATATTTAGTGTTGCCAGATCCCGGCATTTATTAAATAGGTTGCAAGTGCATGAAGAATTTCAAGAAATTCTGATACAGTGCTCAAAGAATTTCCTGAAATTCTAGATAACACATTACATGAACGCAGTAATTGTTCTGAAAACTCGTTGAAAATAAAAAGCGAATGAGCTTCATATAAATATATGCAATTATTTATGGATCGCCAGGCAAATTGTTTAAACTATGCTTAATTACGTTTGTTTTTTTTTTTCTTTTAATTTTTTTGTTTGTTTAAAGTTAGGAAGCTAAATCTCAAGTGACTTCCCGCTGCATTTACCAAAAATTTTAGTAATCTCCATATTGATAGGTGGGCGGCTGGTGCATCGCCTTGCTGCTCGGCTGGTAGAGATTGTGATGCGAGGACGAGCGATGGGCAAAGCTGGCGGCAATGGCGGCAGTCTCTGTATAGGAGTGCGATTGCGAGTGTCGCTGGCTAGGCGAATGGGCGCGTCGCGCACGACGCTCCTCAATGTTCGCCGGCCAGCGCTGATGATACCGCGTCGAGTCCTCCGAGGAGCGACGGCGATGGTAGCGCTTCGCAGAGCTGCTGGCCAGCGGTGGCGCACTCAGCTCCGGCTGATGTCGATAGCTGCTGCTGTCGTCGCCGCTGCCGGCGCTAAGCGCCTGCTGCTGCAGCTGATACTGACGCCGCATGCGCTCGTCCAGCGATGAGGTGGGCGTGGGCGTGTGCAGATCGATGACATCGCCGTGGGAGTTGCGACGAGCGCGCTGCATATCCCGGTCATCATAGTTCTCGTAGGGGTTGCGCTTTTGCTTGTTACGCTGATGCTGCTGCTCGTGCGCGTCGAGACGCTGACGCCACTCGGCGGCGGACACCTGCTGGCCATAGAGATCGGGCTGCGGCTGGAACTGTGCGATGCCGCCGCCATTGCCATATATGTTCTGATAGCTGGAATGACGCCAGCCCTTCTCGTAACGTGCGCCTCGCGTCTGTACGGGATCTTCCTCGGGTACGGCAACGGCAGTGGAAGCCAGCTGCTGGCGTCGCTGCGAGCGACTGGAGCTGCTCTCCGAGGAGTCCTCGCCTGAGGTACCTAAGCCCTGATCCTTCTCATCGCCGCCATAGGCCTTGTAGGGCGCACCCAGGGAACCCTTGGAGCCATAGGCATAGGGTCCATTTATACCCATGCTGGGATACTGCATGTAATAGGACTGCGCAAATGGTTTCTCCATCACATGTCCCAGCTTCATATCATCCAGACTGTCGTCCACCTCCTCATCGGAGCCATCGTCACGACCCGTCCAGGTCAGCCAAGAGCCGGGTCCGAATAGTGACAGCAGCACCGGCAATAGGAACAATCCGTGCATAGCGCCAAAGAAAATGACCAGAAAGACCATTTTGAAGAACACCAAAAATATATAACTCTGTGCCAGCAATAGTGCTATAATGCCCAAAATCGTTGAGCTGGAACCCTGCACAATGGGCAGTCCAAGCGAGTGGAGAGCCTCACGAACTCGCGCCTTGGGACTGCGTTTCTTGGATGACATGTAGGTGTAACAAATGTGAGCGGTAAAGTCCACCGAGAAGCCAATGCACATGATTAGATTGATCATAGATATCGAGTCCAGATTGACATCCCACAAAGCCATATAGCCCGCAACGCCCAGCTCAATCGATATAACCGAAAAGGCCACCCACAATGAGCAGAGGATGTTGGGTATAAATATAAACGAGATGATCATCATGATGATTGCGCCAATGACCATGGCCTGTAGTGAAACGGGTCGGACCAGTTCGAATTGATCGAAGAACACAAAGTAGGGATGGAAGATGGATGCGTTTAGCGGCGAGTCCTTACATATTTGTCGCAAATCGCGCACCATTTCCTTCTCATGATTGGTATCCGTAATATTGACAGCCTGTATAAGGAATCTCGAGGCGATAATCTGTGTCTCGTCCTCATTTAGGCGCACATCCAGTGAGAAGGGATTGCCGGGGAATAGCCAGTGCTCCTTGACTGCCTCAATAAACGATTCCTCATCGTCAATGGTCTCATTCAGATAATCGTTATTGCGATCCAAGAAGGAAAGAAATGAGCGCAGCCAAGATTCGGTGTACAAAGAAGAGGTTACATATGAGGTGTGCTCCAAAGTACTTGTGAGATTCTCCATTTGCTCCTGCACAAGGGGATCAGAGTAGTTCAAGGGACCCGCAATAATAACCTGTAAGCCATTAATAAGTAAAACATTTGATAAGCCCAAATCTTAACACGAAAACTCACCTGCATTCTGTAGGGGAATTCGCGATAATAATCGTCCTCGCGATCGAAAAACTCCACCGAATACGAATCCTCGCGAGACAATTTGCGTCGTTCCAAGCCCTCCTTTATCTGGGTAACGCCGTAGCAAGCGCCAGCCAGATAACTGGCAAAGGCCAATATGATAATTATCTTGCACCATTTGTTGTTGATTACCGCTGCCAGCTTGTCTTTGAAGAAGGCCATCAACATGTGATCCTTGTTATCGATGGGATTATCCGGATCGTTGTGATCAATGCCGCCAGCCATAATCGCCTTGTAGAGGAAGTTTCGTTTCTCTATAAAAATTGAAAAAGCAGCCTAAGTCCAGTTGCCATTGACACCAATTCCACGGATTGCTATCGGCGTTCTTCTTGGCTAAGACTAGTCTAGTTTGTGTCTCATGATCAAGTTCATGTTACAGCTGCTAGTCGGGCGTCTAAACGAATTTAATTCTAGATAATAGGCTTGGCTCTGAGCCGGTTGTGCGGGCCAAGTAACTGGCAACAAGTGGACCTTGTCATAGCCAACTGGCCAACTAATGTCCAACTAACTTTTGTCATCATTATGCGCACACTTAAGTGCTTAATTGCATGCTGGCGAAAGATCAAGAACGAAGCTGCTTCACCAATTCTGTGCATGATATAGTAACAAAATATAGTCTCCTGAACCAAATCATGAAAAAATCCGAGAAACCGACCTAAAAGATGTGCGTCTGATTGAATCCAAATCAGCTAATCTTAAACAGCTTAAGTCGTTGTAGTACTTTTATCTCTTACATTTGTAAGAGCTTGTCAGCAATGCTTTCCTTTTACCCTTACTTAGTAATATTTCCTGCTAGGAAGTAGGGAGGAGTCCGAACATCAGAAACTGTTCCATAGGGGTAAGTGCACTTGAATTTCCTTCTCCGCAAGGGGAGCAAGATGGTTTCACTCACACGAATATCAAAAACATAAGAGAACCAGGTCTCTAAATATAATCCCAAACCTCTAAACAGTTCAAATCTATCACAATCCAATTGCTCCTTAAAATTGCTTCACTTACCTTTAATGGCCACCGACATGGGCTTCACTTTGCATCCAAATATTGCATGCAGATTCTTCCGTTCCCTATAGCCCGAAATAGCCATGCAGGCGGCAAAGAAGGTGATGTGCCACATAAAAGTGAAGCAGACAGCAAACACGGAGTAGGTGCAAAAGATCTTAACCGAACGGAAGGGACTGATGATGCCGATCAGAAACGAAATGAAGTCTGTAACCGATGTAATCGTTATGGAAACAGCTGCCTCGGACATCATGTGACCCATGCGCTCATGCACGGGCATCTTGGCGGGAGTGCGTCGCCAGCCAGCCAACATCACAAAGGTGTCATCAATGCCAATGCCTAAAACGAAAACCAAAATTGAATAAAAAACATCGAACTCGTGTAGTTCTCAGCACCTACCAATCATCAAAAAGGGAGCCGCCAGATTAATGCCTATGAACTCGATGCCGCAGTACATGGCCAAGCCGAAGGCCGCCAGGGTGGCCATTATAGCCGAGATGTTGCCCATCAGGCCTAGCCAGGGCTTTGAGCGCACCGCATCGCCCATCATGCAGGTTATAATGCTAAAGGAATGCATGTAAGAGTTTAGTATTATAAGCTCTAGACATGGCTCAGCAGTTGGTTACCTGAACAAACCCATAAGCAGAAAGGTGGAGCTAAAATAGGGCACTACCGTCTTAGTATTCTTCTCCAGCTCATGGTCCAGTGTACGAGAGGCGA